AACTGCAAAGGAAGCCATTGTTCAGCTCTTCCTGTTCTTGTGATAATGCTGAACATCTTCTCCCTGAAGCTTTGACCTCAAAATCCTCATTTTGATCTCACTTCTCCCTTGCGTGACTCAAACTCATGATGTTTTATTTTTGTTCCATGTTCTGTTTCCTCAGGCTGGATGTTTCCTGTTGAAACAGACTAATTTTTCAACATAATCGATGCATCTGTAAATCAGCACCTTACATTATATGTATGGTCTACATACAAATCACATACATTGTACACCATATAAACAGGTCGAAAACCATACATGACGCATACCCTTTTACAAAACTAATACCAAAAAGTGAAGGGTTGAAGCGATTGACAAAACATGTAAACAGACAAAGAGAAAACTCACCATTACTCACTGGAGAGGGGGAATCCCATTCCTCACTGCCCCTTCTTTGCCCCCAGCTCTCTGGCTCCACAATGGGTTTTTTTGCCTTCTCTCTAGAAATGGACACCAGGTTCACCCAGTGTCTGGAGGAGGTTAGTAAACCCTGCTGTGGATTCCTTCCACATACAAAACCCTTCTGCACACTTTAGGAGAGGCATGAGCCCTGGTGTTTCTGGAGGCTGCCTTGACAGGCCAATATGTCACTCGAGATCTCGTGAGGTCTTACAAGGTCTTGATCATCAATATTTTTTTTTGCATATCTTCTTCCCGCCTTGAATTTCAGCTGTGAGCTGCCTTCACTCACACTGGCCCCAATGTGTAGAATATTTTTTTCATCTGAAGCAAGACAGATAATCACACCTGGTACTGAGTTTATAGATATATACAAGAAACTAGATAGAAGATATCCCTGGTGCTAAATTTGAGAGGGATGAGGAAATGTGTTGAATTTGCTGAGGATTAATGTCTATTGGCTATTAAATACATTGCTACTTAATTGGAGGCAGAGATCAAGTCCACAAGGCAGAGATTTAACAGAGATGCTTAGAGCTTGCTTTTCTTGGCACAACGAGATAACAGTCCATCAAGCACAACAAGATAACAGTCCATCAATATAACTTCAATAAAGATATTCTCTGAATTTATTGGTTTTGCCGTTGCATTTTTTTTCTGCTAGTGATACATTGTCCGGATACTTCAGGTTGTCAGTACTATCAATTTTACTCTGAACAATTGTGTAATTTGACTTGAACTTAATTGTGCAATGTAAATTGAACTCAATCAATGGCCATGTTTTAAAACAACTTCATCTGCTTCTTCAGAAGGCAATCCTTACATAAACAGCTGATGGGTCCAAAGGTAACTAGACAACTGAGGTTTATGGTTGGTGGTAATAAATATGACTAGAGATTAATGCAGTTCCTTCAGAAAAGAAGAAGGTGATAAGGACAGCTGGACGAAGACGCAGGTTCTTTTCTACAATGGCCAGAAAACAATGAAATAAGTTTTCCCCCAAATCCCTGTACATTTATTTGCTCGTGTTCACAGTGAAATGGAGGCCACTTATTGAAGGCTGTGGTTGTGCTGTGTCAAGACACACCGGGTACACTCCAGTCTAGTGTGACAAATTGCCTGGAGGGAGGAGGGAATCATCCTGTCCCATTAGCAGAGACCTGAAGCTTAATGTGATGTTATTTACCTGGTGATGTTTCCATGCCATGAAAAGCTTCCAGGGCTCATTTCTGCACATTAAGCCTCTGTCAAAGGGACAGGACATTTCCCCCCCAGGCCTCTTGGCATCCCTAGTTCCAGTCTCATGAACAAATTACGGTCTGTGATGTGAACGATACTGAAATCCTCTGGTTCTTATGTTCCCTCCCATTCCCTGGTACGTGAAGCCAGGACTGAAGACGTCTTGGGTTAGATCTAACCTGGCAGAGCTCTCTGCCAAATAACATCAGGGCCTGCAGGATCTTATGCAATTCCGCAGGGCCTGTAAGGCAGAGATGTTCCACCAGGCCTTTGGTTGACCCCAGGCCTCTTGGCGTCCTTAGTTCCAGTCTCATGAACAAATTACGGCGTGAAGCCAGGACTGAAGACGTCTTGGGTTAGATCTAACCTGGCAGAGCTCTCTGCCAAATAACACCAGGGCCTGCAAGATCTTATGCAATTCCGCAGGGCCTGTAAGGCAGAGATGTTCCACCAGGCATTTGGTTGAGGACAGCAATGGTTTTACATCATGGCTAGCATCCTACCTGGATCCTCTACTCCTTATGGCACTTACTCCCTTCCCTATGCATGTGAAGGACCCACAGACCAGATACGGGAGGGAAATACAAGAAATTTTAGACACTTGCTCTAGTTACTGGATAATTTGCTGGATACGGTTTTTATGTTTATATGGTTTTAAAATTTGTACATAGCCTAGAGCCCCACGATCATGGGGATTAGGCGATGAATAAATATAATAAATACATAAATTGTTGTGATGTCTGAATAATGCACTTCAATACACTGAGATTTGTTTCTTCCTCCTAAATGAAACCAGTTTACTTCATTTGTTCCCATTCAATGGTGGTCAAGAGAGGATGCTTTTTGCATCTTCCCTACTCTGATAGAATTTGCTCTTGCTCCCTTGATAAAAAGTACCATCTCTCATATTTTATTGAAATGCCCTCTGTATTCAAGTCTAAAATGCCATTTTATTCTGCTGTTTCTGGTGAATTTCAGTGATTTTAACCCAAGCATGGTGGCCCCCTTCCATGGATTCTCTGTTGGCAATTATGTCCCTATGAGCAATCATGGATTCTCTATTGGAAATTATGTACTCCATTATCCCCTATGGGCAAGCGTCCTCTCCATTATTCCTTATGGACAGTCATGGATTATCTATTGGCATTATGGATTCTCTATTGGCAATTATGTACTCCATTATCCCCTATGGGCAAGCGACCTCCATGGGCAGTCATGGATTCTCTATTGGCAATTTTGGATTCCTTATTGTCAATTATGTACTGCACCATCCCCACTGGGCAAGCCTACTCTCCATTATTCTCTATGGGCACTCATGTATTCCCTATGGGCAATCGCTGTCCTTCGTTTTAGTAAGTCCCCTCCTTTCGCGGGCTTCTTCTGAGCACAAACCGGCGTCATTCCGATCTGGAGACAGTTTGTACAGCGGGGGGAGGGAGAGAAGTGATAAACTTTCAGCCACCAGCAGTTGGCTGGCAGCCTGCGATACTCACTTACCCAGCAAAGATAAATTCAGACCAAAGTGAAACGAAAACCCTTTCCTGCCCGTAGGTTAAAGAGAGAGAGCCCGAGAGAGAGCAAGCAGAGCTCCGTGCTCAGCACCGCCGAGGCAGCAATTTCCAGCGCCCGGAGACAGGATGGAAAGACTGTTCAGCAGAAGTAAACAGGAACACCCGGAGCCCGTCCAGGCAGAAGTGCACGGTGAGTGAACGCGCTCAGGAAAGGCTCCAAGGCGAAGAACGCTCCGGCGCCACGGCGTCCGCTGGGTTCTTCTGGCCAAATGGTTGCATTTTCCCCCTTTGGGTCTGTCTGTTTTCTACTTCACTGTATCTGAGGAAGTGTACTCGCGCACGAAGGTTTATACCTTGAATTAAACTTTGCCGGTCTTAGAGGTGCCGCAGGTCTCAAACTTTTGTTGCATTTCCTACAACGGGAATTTGCTTCTGGGCTCAGTGAAATGGACTTCTCCAAGGATTATGCATGCTTGGTTCAGCCGTGAGCGGTTGCAGTCAGATTGCTGTCTGTTCAATGGTGGGGTTAAAAGAAAAACAAAACAGTAAAAGCTTCCGAGCGTAGAAACTTGGGAAAGGATGCTTTTGCTTGGTTCCTTTGACAAGCTCTCTGCATTTCAACTAGTGCGGGAAGACAAGGGCGCTTTTGATGATAGGCTGGAGACCTGCCAGTCATGTGGAATCTGTTAAAAGCAAGGTGTTAACACCCGGTTTAGATTAAGGATCTGGGGTACTGAATCGGGGTTACCAGCAGTGTTCCCTCTAAGCTGAGTTAGTGTGAGCTAGCTCACACTAACTCAGCTTAGAGGGAACATTGGTTACCAGTTGCGGGGGGGGGGGATCTCCATTTAATAGGGATTTTATGGGATCTTATCTACCTACCTTCTCTAGGATGTTAATTTAACCCGATACCTCCATGCCATGAAAAGCTTCAACTGCCAATTCCACACACATTAGTAGCCCCTATGAAAGGGTTATTCCCCCCCCCCCGCCTGTTGGAGTACCCCCCCGCCCCACCTGTTGGCAGCCCTCATTGTAAACATACAGGATGGGTACTTGGAAATACGCTGGACTAGATGGACCACTGGTCTGATCCCGCTAGCCTCTACTTATGTTCCTGTGCTCTAATAACAGCTTATAATATAAGGTATGTGCTAGGCTAGTGGAATTATTATGCTTTTTTTAGCCTGGAATTCTTCATTGTACAGAAAAAGTCACCTTGTGGCAGCTGGTGGGGGAGGGGAGGGGAGCTGGTTGCTTTTCTAGGAAAACAAGTTTAAAGTCCCCTTGCTTTTCTTTTCTTTTCTTTTCTTTGCCATCCACTCAGAGCTGATTCATGGCGACCTCCTGGGGTTTTCAAGGCAAGAGGCATTCAGAGGTCAATTGCCATTGCATCATGACCCTGGTATTCCTTGGAGGTCTCCCATCCAAATAATAGCCAAGGTCAACCCTGCTTAGCTTCTGAGATCTGATGAGATGAGGCTAGCCTTGGATGGACGGAGGATGGAGATAATTTCACAGTTGTTTTAGATCCTGGCCTATACTTGATGGTTTCCTTTACAACCAATGGATTGGTGATATTGCCGACATACATTTTGACATATTTGATGTTTCATTACATTGTGCAGCTTTTATATTGGCATTATTAGTGGAATTTGAATCACTGGGGATTTATGTAAAAGTTAGTGTCTCTGTGAGAGTTGGACTATAAGGAAGGCCAAACGCCGAATAATAGATTCTTTTGAATTATGGCGCTGGAGAAGACTCTTGAGAGCTTCTTGGACTGCAAGGAGATCAAATCAGTCAATCCTAAAAGAAATCAACCCTGACTGTTCCCTGGAAGGCCAGATAATGAAACTGAAGCTCAAATACTTTGGCCACCAAATGAGAAGGGAGCACTCACTGGAGAAGACCCTGATGCTGGGAAAGCTTGAAGGTCAAAGAAGAAGGGGACGGTAAAGGATGAGATGGTTACAGTGTTATCGATGCAACGAACATAAAAGTAAGCAAACTCCAGAGCACGACGGAAGACAGGAGGGCCTGGCGTGATGTGGTCCATGGGGTCGCAAAGAGTCAGACTCGACTGTGCGACTGAACAACAACAACAAAAGTGTCGCTGGGAGGCTTTTACAGTACAATAACAGATTTAAGCCTGCTGACTTTAGTGGACTTAGAAAACCCTTATTTCTCCCTAGTAATTATAACCAATAGATGGACATTTTTGTTTTTCCCCATGATATGTGGGTACGAGAGCAGACCCTGATCTGCTTCTCTCTTAGTAGGGGTTCGGTTGCCTAAAATCTCAACTCTCTTAGACCTTTCTCAGTACTGTTTATATATATATATATAAGCAACGGTAACTAAAGCATTATGGTTTATATACATAGATGCAATGCAGAACTCAATAGCCCAGGCTTGCCTGATCGCGTCAGATTTCAGAAGCTAAGCAGGGTCAGACCTGGTTAGTACTCGGATGGGAAACTACCAAGGAAATCCAGGGTTGCTACACAGAGGCAGGCAATGGTAAATGACCTCTGTACAATCTCTTGCATTCAAATGTCTCTGGGATCTTCATAAATTGGCTGCAACTTGACAGAAAAATAAAATAAGTACAGTTTAAAGAATGGAAACAGGAGCAATTCAGTTGCTGTAAAAATGACAGCACTATACTTGGGGGCTTGCAAAGGTGTCTTTAATGTCTCAGCAGCAGAGATATAAAAAAAAAAATCAATGCCATAAGAACATAAGAACATAAGAGACGCCAATGTTGGATCAGGCCAAAGGCCCATCCAGTCCAACACTCTGTGTCACACAGTGGCCAGAAATACCAGTGCCATCAGGAGGTCCAGCAGTGGGGCCAGGACATTAGAAGCCCTCCCACTGTTGACCCCCCCCCAAGCACCAAGAAGACAGAGCATCACTTGCCCCAGAGCCCCTAGCTATACCTTGTGGCTAATAGCCACTGATGGACCTCTGCTCCATATGCTTATCTAATTCCCTTTTGAAGCCGTCCATGCTTGTAGCACCCACCACTTCCTGTGGCAGTGAATTCCATGTATTAATCACTCTTTGGGTGAAGAAGTACTTCCTTTTATCCGTTCTAACCCGACCGCTCTGCAGTTTCATGGAGTTTCATTCCCATTTTATAGCCTAAATCGGCTCATGGGAATTAAAAATAAAACCCAACAACTGATGTTACAATTGAATGCAAATGTTCCATAAGGAAGGAATCCTTGGCTGAGCTATGGTAGGATCCTTAGCCTTCCTCTCTAATGGCACCATTGCTGGTTGGAAGCAGGACGGAGAGGGAAACTGAGCGGAATCTGAGCATGACATAGAGGTGGAGGGCTGCTTCCTGTCCTCCTGGTGGCAACTGGAAAGTGGAGGGAAGGGATTCTCGGCTGAGCTAGAACTAGACCCCATGAAGGGGTTCAGCATTGAGGTACTTCTTTGGTTACTCGCCACCAGGGCTATTTTTGGCAGCTCGCTGACACAACTGATGTTACAATTCAATGCAAATGTTTCATAAGGAAGGAATCCTTGGTTGAGCTATGGTAGGAGCCTTCCTCTCTAATGGCGCCATTGCTGGTTGGAAGCAGGACGGAGAGGGAAGCTACAAAAAAAGCTCTGGGTTTTGACAACAAACAAGGCAAACAGAATAAGAAGGGAAAGGTGGGTGTGGCTGGATGACCACACTTCTGGTAACATGGGGGTGTGGCCTAATATGCTAATGAGATGTGCTGTCAGGGGTGTGCCCTAATATGCTAATGAGTTTCTGCTCTTGGGTGTGGCCTCTCATGCTAATGAGTTCCTGCTGGACTTTTTCTACAAAGAAAGCCCTGCTCGCCACTGTTTGCTGTGATTCTAGGATATTCGCTGGGAGGTTTCATGGGCAAATGTCTCAGCAAATAGGTCTCAACAGTGATCCAACAGCAAGATCGAATACGAGTTTTATCCCTTCTCATTTTTTCCTGGATTCCGAGTACTCCTCTATCTTGCCCCAACTGCTTTGAGATCTGGTGTAGAAGGTGGGCTTTCTCCAGTGCTCACCAGTGTTCCCTCTAAGCTGAGTTAGTGTGAGCTAGCTCAGTTTTTTAGCCTCCGGCTCACAGATTTTTGCCTTAGCTCAGGAAGGATGGCTCCAGAGCAAACTAATTTATGCAGTAGCCAAATCGCTCACTCACAATTTTAATGCCAGTAGCTCACAAAGTAGAATTTTTGCTCACAAGACTCCACAGCTTACAGCAGTGATGGCGAACCTTTTAGAGACCGAGTGCCCAAACTGCGACCCAAAACCCACTTATTTATCGCAAAGTGCCAACATAGCAATTTAACCTGAATACTGAGGTTTTACTTTAGAAAAAACAACTCATACATTAACTTAAGATGATCCAAACAAAGTAAGGAAAGCAATTCCAAATGCTCTCATTTACTTAAAATTATTTGGCAGAGAATTTGACACTTCAATGATGGTCTGGGCCTGGCACGCGTGCCCACAGAGTTGGCTCTGAGTGCCACCTCTGGCACCCATGCCATAGGTTCGCCACCACTGGCTTAGAGGGAGCATTGGTGCTCACCTGTCTCATTGATGGAGAGACATTCTTTTTAAAGAATATGTATGCATGTGAGTGTGTGTGCACCTGGAAGTCATGGCAACCTCGGTGACTGACCCCTACTGATGGCCTGGAGGATATTCAGGGAGGTGGCTGAATAAAGCCTGCCCCTGTCTCCCACCTCTGGTATTCCAAGGAGGTCTCCCATCCAAGTACTTGCCAGGGTCGACCCTGCTTAGCTTCCGAGATCTGACAAGATCAGGCTTGCCTGGGCTGTCTAGGTCAGGGCATTGCGAGAGATTCTTTAGCATCTTCTTAAATAAAAATCTATGATGGACTTTCTCCAGTGCTTGCCTGTCCCATTGATTGAGATTCTTGCATATTCTTAAACAAAAAATCTTCTTTAAGTGCAGGTAGAATTCCCCATTCTACATCCATATAAAGTAGATAAGAAGAATTCTGCTGGTCAGACCCAGGGTCCGTCTCTGCTAGCATCATGTCCTGTTTCACAGAGTAGTCAACTAAATGCTTCCAGGAGACTGCAAGAAGTGCAAAGAGAGCAGCCCTGCTACCCAGGAAATGGTTCTTTGGTACACTGCCTCGAAACTTGGAGGTTCTTTTTAGCTTTTATCTAGTC